CGAAAGAGTGATGTTCAACCGCGACATCCATTGGCTATAAAATCTGCTTCTAAATCCCAGCGCTGTCGTCATCGTGTAAAGCTCGCCCCAACGTTTCTGATTGGTGCCTCAATTTCGACGGATTGGAAATGGGCTTGAATTGAGCTAACTTTCAGAGCAAATCTAAATTTGCCGGAAGTTGTCTGGGTTTTCCCAGGCTAGCAAACATAAAATAAAAAACAAGAAAGACGAGAAATCCTGACTGGACAGAAGAACAGTGTTTACTGTTAGCCCAGTTAGTATATGAACACTAGGCCATCATTAAAGGAAAATTCGGGCCGGGTCACAGCACGGAGCAAGAAGCAGACATGGGAGCTTATAGCGCAAATTATTAACAGTTAATTCCCCTACTTGTGCACACCAGGGAAGCCTGCTATTAAGATGCTTTCTCAAATTTTTCTTTACTAGGATTTTTTCTTTAATTTTAAAAGTAAACGCCTACATTTCTAAGAATTTTCTTCAAATTTCAACACTAGGAGCTACTCTTTGCACTAAGATTCTTTATGAATACGTGCCCTGGTGCTTGGTTGGGCTCTTTGTTGTCACATGATTCCCAGTTATTCTTGTGTTACGTTTTTTTGTTATGTTTTTATTGGTTAATTGTTTCATTGCGTTCAGGTGTTTATCACTTGCTCATCAGTAGTCTATGTATTTATAGCCCCCATTTTGCCATGCTTAGTCAAGGTAATGGTTAAGCTATTGCTTTGTTTGTTCACTTTTTGAATTATGGAATAAACTGCATTTGGGCTCAGAAAACTGACTCGACTTTGGTGGAACGGTTACAGTCTATATATTGTGCTATTGTGCATCAGAGTAATGTTATTAGGGTTGTCCGTTTACTCATTTACAATATATTGTGACCGTCGTTATACAAGGCACTGTAAAAGCCAAATTCAGTTCAAAGGACCGAGCTAGAAAAGAAACCGCTCTACCGAAACTGAAACTTGAGCTCTGACTTCAGAATGAACTAAAAGTTGAATGGGAAAGGATCTAATTACAACCTCTGACCACATGTAACGTGATCTGAGGATTGATTGCTATACAGAGATGCTAAACTTGAGCTTGAGAGTATTATCTATTCTTAAATAAAATTACAAGGTTTGAAGGGGATTAAGAAGATGAATTGTTATAATAACAGTCCAATTGTCCTCACTTAACAGATAATTGTCCTTCATGTTAATCAAATGCTTTCACAGAATTTTGTGATTAATAACACCAGCTTTTTAATGCTATACAAATATATTTTAATCCAATACCCTATTTATCTCTTAAGCTGGTGGCCATGCTATCAAGTCTTATGTCAGTCCCAGGGGGCCATTGATATTTACCTGTGCAGTTGCTGCTGTTGTCATGGGGATTGCAGGACACAGTCCCATTCGCCTGTGCATTTGTGGTATTCCATTCAGCCTGGGAGTATTTGCATAGGACAACAGCTGAGGGCAAACAACAAACTAATCACAGCTGGCTCCATACATGTCTCCAGAACTGTGGGAGATTGCTTTGCAGGCAAATGTTACACTGGGTTATATAAGCCACTTCATCGTGGCTAAACTTTAAAATCCCTCCCTCTATGATTAACTATAAACTACATTCCAGTGCTAAAAATAGAAACTGGCATAATGGTGTTAAAGAAGATACTCAACTCTTGATGTCACGAGCACATTAATAAATGCAATAAAGAGCTATAAGGAAAAGTTGGCAAACGGGTAATTCTACAATCTATTGCTGCTTTGTAGACAGAGCACAGTTAAAGGCGTTGAATACAAAGCAACAATGGTGAATCGTACCTGAGATTATTCCCCAAATCAACATACGCGTCATGTCCATTTGTGTTTCGCGTCGCGCGTCAAACTGAAGACTTCGATCCCCGTGTTGCTTCAGGTTCAGTTGTCATGTCGTTCATTTTAGAGCGATTATTTTATTGAGTCGCTTATAACTTTTCAGCAGTCTTCCCAAAGTTTCCTTTCGGGTTTCCTCAAGAGGAGAGACTGACGGATTGACTGATAATAAACGAAGGCGTGCGTGGGAGGGGCTAGTTAGTTTTCCACGCCTTTACGTGTGAATGACTTCGGGATTTTATATGACTTTTATTAGGCAAAGGATTCATAATATTGGTGCATATTGTATAAAATTGAGCATTGTCTACACGTGGATAGCATATAATTACTTTATGATGCTTAGCCTACATTGCAAAAAACATTTCACTTTCAATCACAGATAGCTATGGTTAAAGAATACAAATAGGCTACATGTTATTATTTTTTTTTACACAAAAAGAATCGACATCCCTTACTGTTCTGTTGACCATTGAAAAACCAAACTCCTAGACTCCAAATATGTATAGCAATATAGGCAAAGAATGGCAGCAAGGTTTAGAGAGAGAAAGAGGCCAAACACATTCAAGGATTTTTATTCAGTGCTGAAAATGTAATGAGCATCACAATCTTCAAGTGGAATACTGACAGGTCTGTCTGACAGCTTGTTGAAAAAAAAGAAAAGTTTTCTCAGAAGAAGAATGAAAAAGAAAGAAGTCAGACAGAATGTTTTCAGATTATTGAGCCACAAATTTTGAGAAATTTGGGAGAACAAACTGTCAATGTTCATGTATTTTAAAAGCTAGTAGCCTATGTTTAAGCTATGATTTATTATATGTTTACAAGAATGGGAAAAAGTTAACACACTTCATGTGTTTGAAAACCCCTGGTTCACTGAGTCATTCGTTTGTACTTCAGTAAGGGTAGCCTAAGGGTAAGCCTGAGTCTCTGCCTTGCCTAAATCCCCTCATGTTTCCAGACGACGCCTCTTAATGAAGCTGCAGGGCTCTCAAGTTTTGAAGACAGGCTAGTGACATTTGGTCAGGTCTTGGAAATGGTGGTGTGTCATTAATAATATTATTATTAGTGTTTATGTTGTTATCGATAATTGCTCAGACTTGCAGAAGAAAAAAAATTACACGTCACTGACAATTCAACTAAATACAAAGTATTTATTAAATTACCACGTGTGTGTGTGTGTGTGTTGCCTTTTTGGACTCCTTTATCTATGGGCCTACCCTTTTCGCCACCCTCCGGGCCAGCATCCTAACCTGGCCTATTTAGGGGGCTTTCCTCTCAGGGCCGATGAGAGGATACTTAATTGCTTTTTACCTGACATCTTTGAAAGAAAGAAGCAATGATTAATGCATCCATGGCCCGGATTTAATTATAAAATATGACATGATTTTAAAAGTCAACTATAACATCAACTATGCAATACACTTTTAAGCCCATATGGAGAGAGAAATTATTATAATGTGACAATATGTCAGTCATCATGTGATGAGGGAAATATGACTAGGCCTCAGGCTGTAAAACTGTTGGCTAAGTTACAGACACTCATGAAAAACTGACGCTAATTATCTGGGAAACATTCTAACAGCAGTCAAGTTGTCATTGTTCATGTCAAACAAGTTGTGAAGTTGTTTAAACATTAAAACAGGAGATGACGATTACTCCTTGCTCAAACTCAAAGGCTGTGTCCGAATTCTCCCACTACTCACTATAGTGGACTATATAGTGAGCTCGCCATTTTGTAGTGCTGTCCGAATGTATAGTGATGATTATTATTCCCTATATAGTCCACTCAATGTATCCGAGAATGCATTTTGAAAAGTAGTGTACAACCGGTCACTACCCCAAGCCATACATACCATAATGCATTGCGCTGATCGTTTTTTGTTTGGTTTTTTTTTTCATTGCGCAGATCGTAAATGACGGACGGGTGACAGCAATGACGTAATCAACGGCGCCGAGAGACGATCGAGTAGTGTCCGGTAGTTTAAACATGTTTCAATATATGTGATATCTGAGTGTCATGTGAAGCATTTCTGTTATACACTGTATTTTGTACTTGGATTTGTTTCTCAATAAAAAATAAAAAAAAAAAATAAAATAAAAAAAAGTAGTGTCCGGTAGTGTCCGAGCTCACTGTATAGTGCTCTACTCCCGAGTCCCTACCCCCTACATAGGAGGTAAGGAGTAGTGGTTTGAGTGGAGATTTCGAACACAGATAAAGTGATGCTCGAAGCTCCAGTGGTTTCCTGTTTTTTGTCATTGGTTGTTGCGTTATAATCTTACCAAGATACAATAGTGTTCTTTCTGAATGGCTATTTTCTTTCTTTTTTTATTTTCTTTTCTTTTCTTTCTTTTTTTTCTTTTTTTTTGATTGGGCAGGCTCGACTAAGAATTCCAGGATAGACGTGCTCGATTCCTGGCGGTTCCATAGTGAGAGAAATTTTGGCGCTGTAGACATAATATTATTGAAAATATTTTTTTTCCGCGTAAGAAATATAATGTGTGGCGGGGCTGCGTGACAAAAGACCGAAATGAGTGACTATCACTCTCAATGCGTGACACTTGACTTGAGAGCCCTTTGAGTCTATGGACACCACGCTGCTGGAGTGAGTCCTTGTGTTCATTGGCAATGGGATTTCTCATAGGAGATGAAGACGACGTGCGACTGGCAGGGGTCGCCAGAGTCTGCTCTCCCCTTCGTACACAAGCCGTGTGTGACCAAACTCCTCTGCAAACAACGACCCCTTCAGCAAATGCCATGCCCAACATAGCACAGTTCATGAGAGATGCTTTCAGTCAATGTAGGCTTACACTCGTATAATGGTAGGCTACAGATTGATGGCATTACTTAGCCTATTTAGAATTTAGAACTGAACAAGTAATAGGCTAAAGACTAGATACAGTAACAACAACAAAGATATCTATTATTACCAGCCAATTATGTAGCTACTATAGGCCTACTACTATACCCAAACTTTAAAAGTAAAAATCAAAGGGTTTTATGCTTCCGTAAATCAAAATTATTGCATAAGATACTAAATCAAACTTATGAAGAAAACAGGTCATAATTATGACAATTTAAAAAAAAAAAAAAACCTATAAGGATATAAAAACAACAACAGGACAATATTTTGAGATGGTTATTTATTTTTTTTATAATATGGTCCATATTTATTTCAGAATTTTGACTGTCATCCTTATGATTTACCATAGCATGTTTTTAAACCTTTTATTTAATATTTGGGGCAAAGGGTATGCCAAATAAAAGATAAGGATGTACTCCAAACTAAAACCTCAACATCACCAACAATGAATAATGCCTGAGGTCCTCATTCATACATGAACTGTAATGCAATTCCAAAATTATTCTTGACCAATTGAGGTTCTCAACAGTAGTAAACACTGCCACCAGGTGGGCAAAACCCCACTTATCCATCCACTTCTAAATTAACAAAATAAGTGAGTAATTTAACCTTTCCATAATTTTCTATTATTTGAAAATTCCCTGCAAAAAGATTTTTGAATCCCCTTAGCAAACTGACAGGTGGCTTGCAAATAAAACCGTAATTTTTACAAGAATAGCTTCCCTCTTCGGGATAATCAGTGTTTATTTTACATGAGGTTATGTTCTTTCAATACAATGCTCTTTAAATATTTTATTTTTATATCACAAAACTTGTCATGCAGTAACAATCCTCCTTGACATTTAAATGAATTGCCGATTTACAGAAGCATAGAGTGTAGCATACTTATCTGTACGTGTACCAGCTGTGTTCTCACTTAAGCCCAGATGTTTCAATCCTTTTTAAGAGACTCTCTGCTACAATAATCACCACACACACACACACAGAGTAACATGCTCTAAAGTCTTCCTTTGAGAGGCTTCTCAAAATGTCTCAACCATTCCATTTAGCTGCATGCAGTGCTTTTCACACACAGACAGAATAACAGACAGAAAATGACTAAGAATCAAAAGGCTTGATTGCAATAGTGAAGAGGGTTGACTGTCTGCACAGACACTCAATCACGTCAAGCAAAATATTCTGACAAATGAGCGCTTATCTGAAAGTCGGTTTATTTTAACAGATGTAAAATAGATTAAATCCAGTCAGCGTTGATCATTAAAAATAGTCTTGAGTGGTTTCAGCTCGATATTTATAATAAATAGAAAATGTTGCTTTCATATTGAGAGACTGATTCATTTCATTCAAGGTTGAAGTTTCCTCACATAAATAATCTCAAAGCAAAATATTTTGTCATCGCACATCCCTGATTCTCCAGTGAAAGCAGTCTCTATCGGAGCTCATTTGCACACTGGAGCTCGTGCTTCAGTCAGAACATAGAATGCAAATGAGAAGCCAGGCAGCTTAATGTGCGCTCCATGCGGCAGCTCACGTCCCTCCAGTGGAGGAAGAGTTCGGTCATCCACCATCTTCAGCAACTGCCCATTCAATTTGACTGACCTGGATATGGACAAAAAGAGGGATTTAACAAACTTTAGGTTAATACTATGATAGTTGATGCACAACATATTCAAATGCTTTCAGAATTTTTAACTCAAGTCACCTTTATTTATATAGCGCTTTATACAATACTGATTATTTCAGCTGCTGTTTTGCACTGATTCAGTTCCTTAGTAAATATCATCAATTATTAAACTAGACTAGTTCATTTAAGCAGTTCTGCAACAAAAAAATCTAGCTCAGTTCAGTTTGTATAGAACAGCGTCGATGCAGTCAGATCAATAAAATTGAATATTAAGTGTTGAGAGTCCCCAAGTAAGCAGGTTCAATAAATGTTAGGTCTACATTTATATGAATAAATAAGGGAAATGTGTATATATAAGGTCTTGTAGCTGGTCACAATTTATTTTTGTTTTTCAATAGGGCTGTCAAACGATCAATCGCGATTAATCACGATTAATCATGATTAATCGCATCCAAAATAAAAGTTTGATTACATAATATATGTGGGTGCACTGTGAAAAATTATTTTGTATATATATATATATATATATATATATAAATACACACACATGCATGCATATTAAAGAAACAAATATTATTTATATATAAAATAAGTATTTATATATAATATAAATTATATATAAATCTATATAAAGTATATACATGAAAATATTTCTTAAATATATACAAGCATGTGTGTGTATTTATATACTGAACTCTTCATATATATATATGAAGAGTTCAGATGCAAAAGCCTCTAAGTGCCATTTGAAATTTTCTTCTAGAATGATCATTTTTATCAAGCTTGTATATTTAAGTTCAGTAATTTCACTTAAATGGCAATTCATAGGTAATCTTCATTGTCATTTAAGTGAAACTACTGAACTTAAATAAATAGCTTGATAAAAATCATCATTTTAGAAGAAAATTTCAAATGGCACTTAGAGGCTTTTGCATCTGAACTCTTCATATATAATATAATTATACACAGTTCACCCACATATATTATGTAAACACAAACTTTTATTTTGGATGCGATTAATCACGATTAATCGTTTGACAGCTCTATTTTTCAACCATTTTTAATCACATTTCTGACTCATGAAACTGCAGGTGACATTAGAAATCACCTATAAAAAGTAAAACAGTGGCTCTAATCAGACATTACCTGGAATAAAGGCTCTGTTCACCGGCCTCAGCAGACTGTAGCACAAATTCTTCAATGGTGCTGTTGGCCATATGTGCGGGCAGAGCAATTGTGGCTTCATTTTTGTTCAGGTTTAAGGCAAATAAGGTCACAGCACCTTCTCTGTAATATGTACTGGAAATTATATATGATATGTAAAAAAGGATTAACCACTGTTTCTAAAAAAAAAAGAAAGTATTTTATTGTAAGCAGGAGAATAGAAGTACCTTTTTCTGTTAGTGCAGTGAAGGTATACCCGTATTGGTTTCTTTTGTTCAGAATTCGTATTAACTTCTGCTTTTAAGACTTCTGGACCAACAAGCCTTTTGTATAACAATGATAGCCAATAATCCTGCCATATGTATAAAAGAGTTTAAAATAAAAAAAAAAAAAATAGTATAATTAAACAGTCCACATTCCTGGACCGATACGGACATTATGCAAGAAAGATCAAACCGATAAGAAACACTTACTGGAAGGGGATCTAGGTTATCGTCCACTAAATGGTACGTGCCGGAACCAATTAATACCTGTCTGATAACGACATCCAAACCAAGCTTAGCAGCAAGTCCCAGTTTGTCCAGCCACCTTTATTAAATGAAACAGATTTAAATATATTTTATTTAAAATATGTATTTATTCAGCTAGGGTGCATTACATGGATAAAAGGTGATCGTAAAATAATTTATGATTTTAAAAAAGATGTACATTTCAAACAATTGCTGTTGTTTTTCTATTTTCTATTCATCAAAAAATCCTTAAATGTGGCATGGCTTCCACAAAAATATTAAGCAGCACGGCTGTTTTCAAGATTGATAATAATAAGGGATGTTTAATGAGCACCAAATCAGCATATGATTTGTAATGGCTGCAAAAACAACAAAAATAATTTTAAAATGCATTTAAAAAGAAAAGGTTCATTTTAAATTGTAATAATATTTCACAATATTACTGTTTTACTATATTTTTGATCCAATAAATGCAGAATAAAGAAAATTCTAGCCCTAAACTTTTGAACGGTTGCGTCACTTATATTTAAATTGTTAACACATTAAATTACCATTACTTAAACACAAAACCATTCCAATTTTTAATTACAACAAATCTAAAATCATATAAATAATAGAGTAGAACTGCCATTTTTATTGTCACTTGAGAGAAAATGAGAGACACTTAATATTTAAAATCAACCCAAACAAACACACCCATCCCTTAATTGCTCCACCCCCAAAATGCACAAACACAATGCAAGTGGATGTCTCTCTATCATAGTTGAAGCAAAGCAAAATAATGCTTCACTTTGACAGACGAACGAATGACAAGAACAATAAATCAACACAGTACACAAGAGAACACAAAGCAAGAGATCATTGTTAGTCTCCAGTAACACAGCAGACAAACAATGACACAACATGTCTAATTACTAAAGCTAACATTACATCAACAGCATATCTTAGTTCTGTGAAACACAGCAAAACTAATGTTATTCATGTATAGAGAAGAAACAAAGCAACATCCAGGTCTGTCCAGTGATATTCCTCTGCGCTTTTTTTTAATGTTTCTCAGCCATTTCTCTTTCTACAGTCTTTTTTCAATCTCGCTCGCTCACTCACTCTCTCATCACGATTGTTTCTCAGAATTTGCTTACCTTACTGCACCTTTAAATCCACATTAAAACATACTGGAAGCTTTAATTTACTGATGAACTTCAAACTGGTCTGAAGTGAAAAAAATGGACTCACATAAAACCAGCAACAAATGTGTCTGATAGACCAAAGGCACCTCCACCATACGCCGAGCTTGTCTCGCCCAGCCAAACCTTCTTTCCCGGAGAAGCAGATTCGGTGGTCTGAAGGCAGAGTGTTTATTAGTTCATTTCAGTTCATTTATCTCTCTGATATTTCTTACTTTTGAATGTGAGATACAACTAGAGAGTTCTTGTTTTAATGTGTCTTGCAGAATTACTCTGGTACCTCGAGGATCTCGTTGATTTTTGTTGCCAGAGTATCAAGCACATGAGGGTCAAGGAAATCCTCTAAAGATGTGTCTCTGCCATTCACATAATAGCTGTTCAGAAAGAAAATGGAAAACAAGTTCAGTACAAAGACTCAATTATTTGAGATTTTTGTGAAAGGAAATAAATCATAAATTACTGGTGCCAGGTGCATGCAGTAATGGCCTCTGCTCCAGACTCCAAAAACCTATGAAAGTGAATGGTCAACCATGTCACCTTTATTTGATACCCAAATCTATAAGATAAGAAGCTACTCTGAAAATATATTTTAACTCTTTTTTTTCTGAACACAAACCCATTTAACAAATCTTTGCGGTGATCTCGTGGCTGACCAATATCTGGTCCATATAGACCAGTTGAGTTGTAGATCGCAGATTCCTGAAGGATTTGATGCAAATGGACAAAATCCTGACCGAGCTGGTACCCATCCACTCTAATCCCAGCTTTTTTTTCATAGCTGTTGGGCTCTAAAGCAAGCGATTTAAAGCCGAGAATTCAACTTAAATAATAAAAAAAAGAATCATTTTAAATTAAAATAAGAATGTCTAGCCTAATCAAAAATAAACATCCCAAATCCTACCATTCCCCAGCTCCCAAGACATCACATACTCTCTGGACTCACAGTACTTCAACAGCAGTTCTGCATTCGCACTGTCCCACGTGTTTTCACTGGTTCGGAGCAAAGCATTCAAACCAAAGATGAGGTCTAAACCGGAGCAGTTTGCAAAGGCATACAGCAGGTCGACAGCATATTCTGGAAGAAAGACAGACACTTGAATTTCTCTTTGAAAGTTTTGATTGTGATATCATTGAAAATATGAATACATGGATACAGGGCTCAACAAAAATGATGGCCCAGGGCAGGGCCAGTCTGAGAGGGTTTCGGATCAGTTGACGGAGTCACAAATGTTTCTGTGATGTATTGATCAGGTTGTTGAATTAAATATGTTACTAAAGCAACTTTACAACTAGCTACTTTTATTAAAAATATAACTATCACAAACAAGATTTAAGCCTATCCAACACTAAAAATCATGTTTGAGCTGTTCTAACTGAAAGCAACTTGCAAAAAGGATTTTTTTTTGGCATGTTTTTAAAAGCCACTTAAATTGAACTAAGGTATAATCTAAGACCTGTCTATGAAACCAGGCCTTTAAAAATATGGGCCAGAAGGAAAGCCTGACATGTATGTGGTACTATGTGCATTGTCTCGCTGTACTGACTCATGATAAATTTCCCATTAGGTAATTATTTAACAGAAGTGGAATTAAACTTACCAGAGAATTTCGTATTTTTGTATTTTCCCTCTAGTTCCTCCTGAAGTAAAGTCTTTGACTGTAGGATCCATTCTTGCTTTAACCTGTTTTCCAGCAATGGAGGCAATTCAAGTCTCTTGCATACATTTCCTGTAGGAATGATATCAGGTGTGCATAATAAAAATAAATCCTACAACAACAATAATAATAATATATATACTTTTTTTAAATTAGTAAATATTCATTAAGTGTTATTGTTTAGAGGGCATAAAAGTTGTAGGCTATATTATCGCTTTATCATTAACTTACTAAAGAATTTGGACACTGAATTTGGATCTGTTTGTCACGTGATTAAACAGGTTACTTTAATGAGACAGTGAATGAAATGACTTACACTAAAATCAACTTGGACCCAGCTGGTTAAAAGCCCAAAGCGAAGGTTTAAGTGTCCAAATAAATTTGAGGGCTATTTATTTAGGGGCATTGTAGTACATAAGAAACAGTATATTTAGAGTGAATCAGTTTTGTTCCCTCATTAAGGCAAAACTGGAATCATGCTGTTAAAGTCAGATGACTAACACACCGCAGTCAGCTTTCTGGCTGGAGGATGTGGATGCTAGTGAAAGAGGTTACCTAGAACAGCGCTGCTGCTGTTTTCTCTTGCTTGAAAATATCTTCCGCGTGGGTTGAATTTCATAAAATCTTGTTTGGTACCTCCAAATCGCAGAAACGCTGGGACCAAGGCTTTGGCAAGGGTTCTTAACTTCGGTGAACTACACAAACATCATATCACTTCTTTTTAAAAGTAACATTACAACTTTATTTATTTGAGGTCTACTTTAAAAGAAGTTTTGAAGGACTTACTTCAGTAGGTTCATGAACTTCTCCTCGGCTATTAAACTCGCATCTATAGCCACAGAGAGAAACCTTTCGTCCACCCTTCGGACCACATTGGACAGATCCAGATCAACACGTATCTGAACATCTTCGACTGATATCCCTATTTTGACCTCGGCACACAATGCGCGAAGCAAAACAAGAGCGACAATCGTGGAAACTGCTGTGAATGCAGACTTCATCTGTTCAAACAGCCGGTGTCCACATTCAGTAACTTGACTGCATCTGTTTCACGCTCTCATCCAAAATACATAGACGAAATACAGATATTTTCCGTCAAAAACCGACTTCCTTATTTCTTGTCTGACTGTAAATAGGAACCAGTTTATGACAAACATTGTTTGAAATATCTCACGCCAGTGACTCATGGGCGTGGCTTTGGCACATTTATTTATTTGCATACCATACCTGATTGGCTGAACTCTCAACATGAGGCAGTGCTGGAATTGTAACACGCTGTTTGTGAATGACTTGTGGTTGTAAAATCGTTGGATATAAAATAACACATGACCATGGTAATCAGTAATAGAGATGTTACAAAAATCAGGGTTCCTTCCGTTTTTATTGCAGCCAGACATACAGGCACAAAATCGTTTACATAATGCCATATAGATTACATTATATACAGACTATTTACAGCACATAAAAAAATAAACATAAGAATTTACAAAGATGGGAGATCAGATGGCAGCATAAGCAGGTCATCCACCTCCTCCTGCAAGGCCTCGGCTTTCTCTTTTATTAACATCTGAAAATGAACATTGAGAAAGTGAACATTGAAATGAACATTTTCTTATCTCCGGACCAGTAGGTAGCACTGCGCCGAAACGCAGCATGAAGCCTCAAGTCATGCTTGTAATGACATGTACCAAGTTTGGTATGAATACAATGAAGCATTACAGAGATACAGCCTTACTTCTGTTTTTGCAAGTGCTACGTAAAATAAGTTTGCGCCGTATTTCAAGAACGGTTTGACAAATTAACTTGAATTTCCTCATGATCTGATTCAATTTTCATGAAAATCGGAGCAACAATCAAGGATGAGTTTGAAAAAAAGTAGTTAAAAAAATGGCTGAAAGACTTACATGACGGAAAATGACTACAAGATGCAATTGAATCGAATTTTGTTTCTAGCCCTTATGGTTCAAAAGTTACTAGCGTAAACACAAGTGAAAATTTGGACAGTTGGTGGCGCTAGAGGGATTGAGTTCGAGAGTCCAAATTTGCTATGGTGACTGTTTGAAGAGTCTTCTATCAGTGTGCCAAATTTCATAAGGGCTGCCATAGACTTCAATTACGGAAGAAGAAGTGGAAAGAGAAGAATAATAAGAACGCCAACGATTTTAATGGGTGCCTATGCACTTTCAGTGCTTGGCCCCTATATATAATGTTGCTATATAGTGCAATACTTACTTTTGCTGATGCAATAATTTGATTGGCTTGTCTCTTGAAGAGGTTTTCAATAGTTTGGGCCAGAATTTGTGGATCTGCGTTGGCAAGATGCGCCAGTGTCTTGTAACCAGCGTTGTATAGCTGCTTAGCACGATGCTGAATCAAAAGAGAATGAAGAAGAATAAAATAAAAACGCAAACTTTTGAGCAAATATTCTGGTAAACTGTTCTAGAGAAACTGAGCAGCAATAACACACACCTCCATGACTCCAGCCACCTCCATGAGTGGAATGAGCTCAGCCTGCACACAGTAAGTCAATCTACGGGTCAGCTCTAAGAGAAGAGACTTATAGGCCCAAAACTCTTCCAGCTCCTGAAATGGACAGACAAATCTCATAGTATTCCAATCAATTATTGACTGCAGGATAGAAATAGATGTAGATATGTAGGATGATGATATTAAAGCATTTTCACACCTGGCTCATTTAAAGCCTTTGTTTTGTAACCTGGAACCCCCCTAGTTTGATTTGTTTAGGCGTATATGAACGCAGAAATCATGTTCAGATATTCACCAAATAAATCGGTCCAAGATCACCAGAACGCAGTGGTCTCAGCCCGCTTGAAAACAAAATCTGGAGTGGTTTGTTCGTTGTGTGCATTGACCAATAAGAGGTTAGTTCCACGCATATGTGACTTGCATTGCATAAACACATTTTGGTATGCTTTAAAATATTGCCTTGTGAAAGCGAACCGAACCAAGAAGAAATTTAAAAAGTTTAAGTCTCTGTTTCAAAACAAAGCAAACAATGTACAGGTCTGAAAACGCCCTTAAATGCTGCTTAGATGAATGCTGCAAACCTCAGTGAAGTGCAGCACGGAGGACCCAAAGGCAGAAGCTGAGCTGAGGAGAGTCTGAACAAAGCCTCTAGTCAGCTGGTACCTATCAGACACGTTCCACAGGTTTGTCTCCTTCAGTAGGGAGTACAGCACTAGAGCCAGATACAGCCTATTCACTACCACAATATCCACAGACTGAAACACAAGTAGAAAAAAACAGGAACAAAATCCATCACTGTGAAATCAAATATAACTTGGGTTGCAAAAAAAAAAAAAAAAAAAAAACTTTTTCCCCCTGTGAAACCTAAGTAGGGTTAAAAGGTTAACACTGCAAATCTTTTAAGAGAATTAGGATTTATGTAATACTAACTATACTATACTGTCAATTCTCAGCTAATGATATCTTTCTACTATACTCTTTGGCTTATATTGTACCTAGGCTGTTTAATCCTAAACAAAAAAAAAAAGACCATGAATCACTCATATGGTATTCTAAAGCATGAGAGGAATGCTGTTTTTACAAACCTTCCTCACGCTCTGTCCTGCTGCCTTTCTAGCCACAAAACTTTCAGGCACTCCAACTGCAGTGGCCATCTTCTGCTCAGCAGCCGACAAATTTGTAAACTGGTACAATGAAAAATTCAGATTCAGAATGAATACACATCACTAGGGAAAAGCACATTAATAGTCAACAGACAATATTAAAAATAAAAACATTGTTGCACCTTGTATTTTTCAAAAAATATTACACAGTAGCACAAGTGTTTAACCTTGTAGCAACATAATAGTAAGAAATGTTTATTGATCACCAAATCATCATATTAGAATAATTTCTGAAGGAAAAAATGGAAAACAGTTCAAATTCTACTGTTATTTTTGATCAAATAAAATGGAGCCTTGGTGAGCATAAGAGACTTCTTTCAAAAAATTAAAATAAAAACCATACCGACCCCAAACTTTTGAATGGTGTAAAACTAAAACAGATTTAACCAGATGAAAACATCATACCTGTCTGAAGTAGATCATCCAATCTGGCTTGCACTGATGCACCATGTCATATGGAGTAACCAGATACACCAAGTGAAGAAAACTATTGAGGAGCAAACCCTCCAGCCCCTTCGATAAGTCTCGGTACAGCAGATCACAGTAGTTAAGGTCAACCGAACCTGAAATATCAAGTAATAATAATTTAAATAATTTAAAAACATTAAATAAGGGAGGCTCTGAAAAAAAAACTGTGATAAATAATAAAAATAGACATTAGAGATTAATTGGCTGTTCTCTAAACAAGGTCATATTGCCACCATGTGGTAAATGAATACATGTACAGACTAACGAAAAATTACATTAAAATTCTTATGCCACACTCCGTGTTTACCTTTGAATGTTGCTCTCCCAAGCCTGGTGATTTGGAGAATGGTTTCATTATGTACATCAGCAGAGGCTTCAATGAGGCTCTTCTGCTTCAATGTCTCTATGGACTCCACTGTAAGATCCCACAAACTCCTTTCTGGACTGACCAGAGCCTCTTGCACACTAAGCAGTGTGCCTTTCATGAAATCCCTCACTTGTTCTACGGTTGTAGTTATCTGTAATCAAAGGACAAGGTTTAGTGTTAGCACTTGTAGACCAGACAGAATTTTTCATTTATTATTACATCAAAATATTTCACATACTTTCAGGCCAATGAGTGACAGGACGAGACTGTGGAGGCCCCTCCCTCCATCGTGCAGCAGGTTACTATAACATTTCTCCATCGGTGCAGACAATAGTTTTTTGGCCTGGCGAGGAAACATTTATATAATATAATATAACCAAAAATTATTCAGACACCAGATACAATTTTTGATAATTTTTTACTAGTAGGTGCAGGACACTAGTTAATTTATAAGTGAGGATAGCAAAATAAAGTAAACTGTGACATATTATACCCCAAAATTATTCATACAGTAGACTACCAATAAAACGTATAAAAATTTCAGACCAAAATGTATTCAGACTGCTTAAGTGTTTTTTCTTTAATTGCTAATGCGACCATTTTACACCACAGACTGAACAAAATTCAGCATTGCTCGGTAATTGGTTGACCTAAATTGGTATTATCTTATTGTGTACTTAAATGTAACAGCTGACAGCTATTCAACCTAATTCATTTGTGAAGACAGTCTAACAGAAGGATGGCCAAAATCAATGAAATATAAACTATAGCGAATAAACTGTGATAATGTGAGAAATGTTGAAGGTGTCTGAATACATTTTGGTTTGACTGTATATCTGTGTTCTTTACCATGTTTATATCTTTGTCCTGAAGGATCAGGATACTCTCACCCATGGCATCAATACCCGCTCGTCCTGCTCTGCCCACCATCTGTTTGTACTGACTTCTCTTTAAAAACTCTGCAGCTACATATGGGGACCTCAAGATCACCCTGAGAAGTGAAGTAAAGTGAAGGACAAGTATGGTAACCCATAAACACAATGCAAGCCATGGACACACACCCCGAGCAGAGGGCAGCCATTTACTGTGGTACCCATGGAGTGATTGGGGCTTAGATGCCTTGCTCAAGGGCACCTCAGTCGTTTCCTTACAGTATTGATAATCGAACCTGTGACCTTCGAGTCTGACTCTCTAACAATTAGGCCACAACTACCCCCTTTCAATACTTTAACAGTTTTTAAAATCTCTTTCAGTCCAGGTTTGAACAATTTGATCTGGGACCATTTGTGTTCGAGATGCATAGGCCTAGACAAACCTGCGTGCAGGGAGGTTGATGCCAGCAGCAAGAGTAGAGGTGCAGGTGAGGAGGCAGAGCACCCCTGAGGAATAGGCCTCTTCCACCAGCTTCCTCTCATCACTGGTCAGTCCGCTGTGGTGGTAGGCCAGGCCAAAGGGCACAGTCTTCTGCAGCACAGGGCACAAGGATCCATTCCCACTGCTCTTCAGTTCACCCAGAAGTGTGGCTTTCTCTGCCTGCTTGTGTTTCAAAAATTCCCTGAGAAAAATGCAGAGGTTTTATTTCATATCAATGACAAAATTATTAAAAAAAAGCACTTTAAGGAATCTAAAGGTCTACCCACTTATTTAAATACTTGCAGATCATTCCAGCTAGATTCTCGCAGTTCTTCTTGGTGGCGCAGAAAATGAGGCAGGACAGCTGTGGGATGACTTCGGTAGCCAGGGCTATGATGTGGTCAGGGTCCATCTTTTGCATTCCACTAGAGTACTGGAAAAGTCCATCGCACAAATGTTGAATGAGCTTAGCGGCTTGATATCTTGTTGAGTTAAAAAGAAAAAAACAGTTTGAAGAATACCTTGAAATCCAGGAGTCGTGAGAAACTGAAGCATGTCTCTTCTTTTGGGTCAACTTCATATATGCTGTCCTTTATTTTTACATACTCTTTCAGCTCAACCTACAAAATCACCAGTTATTTATTCATATCGAATTAAAAAACGTACTAAATCAGTCACACGGAGGTCATTCTTACAGGTCGAAAGTCATTGGTGTAGTTTTCAGCATTCAGAAAGGTCTGAAGATCTTCCACATTGCCTAGAGTTGCACTCATACCAATAATTTGTGTTGACTCTGTGGGAAAACAACAATGGGGTAATCCGAATCCATAAGGAGTGACCATTACAGAGGTGAAGTATACTGCATGTGTGAGTTTTAGAATACTCACTGCTCATGTACAGAATCTTTGACAAAGTCATTTCAAGAATTGCCCCCCTGCTGCCATCACCAAGCATATGGAGCTGAAAATAAAAAGCATACATTCATTTACAATTCACTACCATTCAAAAGTTTGAGGTCAGTAATTTAAAAAAAGATTACTTTTATTAAGCAAGGATACATTAAACAGTGGCAGAAAAGGCCTTAACATTGTTACAATATAACTGAAAATCTAGCCTGGTCATTACAGGAATAAATTTCAACTAAAACCATATTAAAGTAGAATGTGCATTACAAATCGAACTAAACCTGAATCAAAATTTAACCAAAACACTTTTAATAAATACTTTAATAATAACAATTTGTGATACACACCTCATCCACAACAACCAGGCCGATATTGTTGAGGCGGTCATTTTCAATCAGTGAATTGACAAGACTGTGTCCTTTCTCAATGGTTGTGATGTACAGAGAGTTTTTATTTCTTCTCTTGACTGGAGGAAACTTCCCTTTACTACCAGCATATTCCTCGACCATGAAGTCCAACTCAATTCCAAAGCCAGACAACCCTCGGACCTAAAGGCAAATCAGTGCATCTGTCATTCTATGATACATGGATAATAATACAGAAATAATAGTCCAAAACTGCTTGCATTCTTTTAATTGTCAAACTGAGTAGAAAATAAAAAATAACCCATGAATATACATATACATAAATACATACCTTTTCCTGAACCAAAGATATGTATGGCAAAATTAGCAGCGCATCTTTCTTTCTACACAAGAGCTCTTTAAATATGAGAATCTCTGCCACTAGAGTCTTTCCACCACTTGTTGGTAAAGAATAAATTAGATTTCTCCTTTGTTGCAACGAATCCAGGCTCAAACATGCTTTCTGCCACTCTGAAGGCAAAAGAGAATAGAAAATAATGAGTTAAAACACTGATACCAGCTGGCGATAAGGAGAAAACCGAAATGAAAAGAATGTGAAATGCTTACCATACAAGTCCTGGATTTCCTTGAACCTCAAAATAAGATCTTTAACTTTGGATGGGAGACCAAAAAAGGGGCCCAGGTCCCCCTCAGCTGATATGGACTCAATGGCCTGCATGGCAAAACTCATTTCTTCAGTCATCACAGCTTTCTTTTGTTGTACTGTCTTGGAAACTGTGCTGGATGTTGCTGCATTATCTAACAGTACTTTCTTAAGATGATCTTTCATACTTCTTCTGGCTTTAGAGGGTGGCTTGTTTACATTGAGATCTGCTTCATTGATAGCAGCCCTGGGGTAAGTCAAATCAGGGGTAGAGGTGTTAAGTGCACCCCTTGAGGGGCTTTTGTGTGGGGTTGTTGTGACAGCTTTTTGAAATTCAAGTTGAGAGCTTGGCAAAGCTCTCAGTGGCGAGTCTCTGAAATCCTCTGCTAAGGTAGAGTCTGAGAGATCATCCTCACAGAGGTTTGGAGTCTGCTGATCATGACACTGCCTCATTTGGAGTTCCACATCTTCAAGCTTAGCCAGAAAGGAGCTGTCACATACAATGCTGTCATAACCCTCAAATAAGTCCTCATTGTCACTGCAGCACTGGACAAGTGGAGAAAAAACATCATTATGCTATAATGAATCGTATATCTTTCGATGACAATAAATAAGAGGCTGCTTACCAGCTCTGTGCCTTTATTCTCAGTCATGTCTTGAGCACAATTGTGTCCTTCACCAGAAGTACATTTTGTTGATGTGAAGCTAGACCGCTTCTTGGCTGGAGTGATGTGACTTCTTATGCCATCCCTTGATCTTTTTCTTGAGGACGAAGGGTTGCGTTTTACCACAATGTCGTGTATGTGGTTGTCAGTATACATTACTACTGTAATGATACTCCACACGAAGATTAAAACATTGACGAAGGGTCAGTAACTGACAACAGCAACAAAGAGCCAAAGCTGTTTTTCTCATCTAACGTTACTGTCTTTATCATAGCTAGGTAACTGACCTTATTCAGTCCGTCTAAACCCTAAACAAATAAATGTATATTATTGCATAAAATAACGGTGAAATAGCGAGCTGCGCTGCGATACACTAATTAATGTTTACCAAAAAAATTAGGACTTTCGAACTGACGAGTGAATGATGGAGATGGCCAATGGAAGTTCGTCTTTTGGACCACGTGACTGTTAAAGTGTCAAGACGGGAAAAAGTAGAACAAAAGTCCCTTTAGAATGCAAACTACTAAAAACTATAAAAACACAAAAGGTATTCATATAAATATTACTAATTCTTTATTGTTTAAATGTTGTATCCACTTTTTAAAATGCACTTAAACGCCCTCTGTCTAAAAAAGTGTTACATCAAAAATATTTTATATCGACTATACTGCAATATTAAAACTAAAATTGTCAAAGTTTTTCCAAATGTTTTTAAACGACCTGTTTCCAAAATAAGTCTTTCAAGAATGCAAAACTACTAAAGCTTTTTATACAAATGATATTCTCTGATAAAATATATTATTTTATGATTATAATTACATTTTATTTTCCATTGCAGTTGTCATTTATATTCTATATTTGTTTTGTTTCAATAACATGTAAAAGTCCTATTTATTTAAAGATTTTATTTTAAATGTATTTCCATTTTGAAACATATTTTGCTTACTCCGACCCTGTAGTTGGCGGTAGATCGCAATAAACCCATGCAGAAGAAGAAAGCAGAAACTGTCATGGTGGCCTCCTGAACAGATCGAAGAATGTTTGCCCTTTCTTGTAGTCGCCTGTTATTACAGGCTTTCCCCAAACAACCAGTCACCCCTAGGGTTACAGGTATCTTTGTAACATCTTTTTTTCTTAATTTTATATGTAAAATGATTTCCAAGACAGCTAACGTTAGTTATTCTCTTACTCGGAAGACAAGTACATTTTCGTAAGCACTCTTAAGAGAAGCCCTCTGCTTCTTTATCAGTAGTAGACGTTTAATAATGTGATTAACATTGATGTGTAAACAAGATATAAGATGCTGTCCTAATCTGTTTAACAAAATTTGATGCATGGCAGCATGTATAAATGTTTTATTCATCTGTTCCAGGACAATGCATCAGAAGTATGAAAACATCTCAACAAGATTCGCATAAGAAAGATGATATGGCAAGCTTTTTATAAGTGTTTCTATCGGAGACTTGAATTGATGTTTTCTAGAACTATCTGAATAATTATTAGCACTAACATTTGCAAAATGATGTATTATCCAGCCTATCAAAATGGAAAACCCATACAAGCAACCCCCTAAAACTTGCATCCTCTGCAATATAACTGTAGACTTCAAAAACGTTCAGGTTGGTAAAATGAACAAGTATGAATACTTATCTATATTTTTATTGTCATAATGAAAGTACTCTTGGAAATCTTTCTCCAGCTGTTGTCCCAGTTCATTTCGCCACACACAGGCAGAGTATACGGCAGACATATAACAGGTAAGCGGTCTATGGGTTAAAATTTTCATTTTAATATTTAAAATAATTGTGATTGAGTCATTTACAACACCTTAACTCTCTTGCTAACAGGCTTGTGTGGTCGAAAGCAGAAGGAGGTATCGAAAGCAATAAAGAAAGCTCGTTCCATGGGTAAGAATTTATAGCTGTAATCTGTTGATAATTTTACTTTGATAATGACATAAATATGCCTATGTTGTTAGTAAAATATCCATGTGTATATAGTCAAATCAGGTTATTTGACTAACAAAGCTTTGTCCTATCCTCAGGTTTTATGTCGGTCACTCTGAAGAATCCACAGTTTATGAAAGACCCTGATATTTGTGGTATCAAACACCTTGAATAGGCTCTGTATGAAGGCTGTGACTCTGCAGGCCATCTCTGTGTTATTGTCTGTGTAAATCTGTAGTTTGTAAAAAAAAAAAAACCATACCAAATGGTTTTTAAAAAATCTAAACAGTGAAACATAACTGATAATTTGATAAACCAGAAATTCATGTACTAAAATGAGAACATTAATAAAACCGATCAAATAAATAATGTGTTCAACTTTTAATTTTCTAGGGAACATTTACAAACAGAGTTTAAAAAAATGATATTAAAGAAAATGTTGGCAAATCAAGATAAAGGTAACCCCCCTGGTATAAAATGTGTAATGCTTTCCAGTCATGACTAGATTGATGTACAAATAAGAACACGCTTAGTTTTACCGTTTAAAAGACAGGGGAGTTAGTTCTGCTCTGTCCATTCAACTCAATCTCTGCATCTGACCCGCTCTCAGGGGCCGACTCGCTGTTATCATTAGTCTTCCTTTTCCTTTTAAGTCTCGGAGAAAAACCAGCAGCAAGGCATTTTTTCCTAAGTCTGGGGGCTGCGTCCTTCCTCCTGGTGAGTTGATTCTCCAGAATCAGAGGCAGCTTGGTGGAAATATCAATGTTATGGTCAGAATTACAGCACAGTTCTAATATGGGGAAGCCCTGAACAGTGAGGGTCTGTGTCCGTAATGAGGGCGCATTGGGGAACAGAGTTCTCAGAGCTGAGCATAGAGGTATGTTCTCTTTGGGTTCTTCTGGAGAGGCACATTTGTGGGCTGAAATACAATGTTATTCTGTTATTCATGGGATTACAATCTGTGATGACAAGCTTAAAGGAGAACTCCGGCGCAATGAACCTTTGGTCTAATAACACACTGGTACCTAGTCGGCCGTTCTCTGAGATTTGTGTTCATGATAATCGAATGTAAAGAGTTTTATCTCTAAACATATATAATGAGGGTCCCTACATGCAAAACGAAGCTTTGAGAAGTGTACAGACAGTTTAATAAGAAGATATTTTATAAAGACAGTCCACTTCATGTATACAGGCAGTCTTGATAAGTCGAACCACGTGCCAAGTGAGCTGAACTGTATGAAGTTCAGCGAACTTCTGAACTGTATGAACGGCGTTCGTGGTTCGACTTATCGAGACTGTTTTCAGAAGATGGCTCCTGCCTGTATACATGCCTGTATCAGTTATTAAACTGTCTGTACATTTCTCAAAGCTTCGTTTTGCATGTAGGGACCCTCATTATATATGTTTAGAGATAAAACTCTTTACATTCGATTATCATGAAAACAAATCTCAGAACGGTCAACTAGGTACCAATGTGTTTTTAGACCAAAGGTTAATTTTGTGCTGGAATTCTCCCTTAAATTCATAGTATGCTAACTGCAAATGATTGGTCGAAAAATCTGGATATTTATGGTATCAAACACTTTGAGTTTGAATAGGTTCTGTATGAAGACTACATGACACCAATTTCAACTAAAAACTGAAAACTTTTTATGTTTTGGCCATTCCAGTGTTTTGGAAGCCTGAAAACACACGTTTTTATACGTTTTTGAAAACAATAATGTTTTCGACTCCTAGGAAACATGTAGTTAAGTTTTTACTTTTTACTGGCATGCATAATACTGCACTTTTGTCATTTTCGCAGATTCATGCGAACAGGGATCATTTTTGACAACATTGTTGTCTGTACGCGAAAAACTTTTCTGCTTTTAGTACATCATTGTTGTGTAAAAACTATTGAACCAGCTTGAATAATATTCATAAATTAAATTAAAAATAGGGTTACAGAACTTTTACATTACAACAAGATCTCTATTCAAGGGCACACTAAAACACTGAAGCATTTTAATGTTTTAAATCTGCCATGGGGAGCCTCAGTTCATAGTGAGTGATTGGCCTTGGAGGCATCAATATAAAGTGTCCTAGAAATAAATGATCTTACATTCGTTTTTCTCAGAGTGTCTCTTCTGTTTCCCGATGGCCTCCTTTAGCTGCGTAATGTCTTCTTGAAGTTTCTCAACTGCTCTTTCACTCTTCTCCACTTCCTTGCACACTTTCTGTATAAAACAGATGGATATGAAAGTTCAGGATTTCAGATATTCAAATCACAATGGAGAAACTGTCGCAACTAATGTGAAATGTAGTTACTAACCTGCATTTCTGCTAATAAAGCATCATTCATGTCACTGACATTTCTGACCTCTTTTAAATCATCCTCTGTGCAGAAGAATTTGGTCCTGGCAGATACAAAAAATATATATATTCATCCCTTCTAAAGAAAAGGCTAGATTTTTATATTTTCTGAAATGTGAGTAGTAATTAATTATATATAACTATTATTTTTTTTTTGCCTGGTAGAAGATAAAATAGCAAAAGTGTTTCAAATTTATGTATATATAAATATGTATATATGGGTATATTTTGGGAACAATCAAACTTTTTAATGTTTTTGAAAGAAGTCTCTTACTGTATGCTCACCAAAGCTGCATTTATTTAATCAAAAAAACAGTACAAATAGTACAAAACAGTACAAAATATTATTGCAAATTAAGAACTTTTCTAGTTTAATATTTTTTTTTAATGTCATTTATTCCTGTAATGGCAAAGCTATTTTTTCAGCAACATTACCTCAAGTCTTCAGTGTCACATGATCATTCATAAATGATTCATAGTAATTCATAGTAATACAATTTCACAATTGTACTGCATTTTTTTTTTATTAAATTAATAATCAGCTTTGATGTGCATTAACGACTTCTATCAAAAATATTTAAAAATTAGTGTTTCGAAACTTTTGGCCTTGGCAAACACAACTAAACAGCCTTTAATTGCAATTACAACTTATTTTCTGAATGTACCTGTGTTGATTAACAGCTTGACTCTGTCCTAAAGATGGACATGTGCCTGACACTCTCCAGTAGTCTTGTTGTTCAAGGTTTCCCAGGTTGCTCACCTATGGGGGTAGAATTGTTGCATTATTCCAAATAAGTAGATTGAAATTTACAAACAAATGTAAAGAGATTCACAAAATGTATCAAATTCACAAATAAATAGATTTAAGATCCACAAATAAATGTAAAGAGTTTCACAAAAATATATAAAACTCACAAATAAATATAATGATATTTGCAAAACTTACATGTATATTTACAGATATGTCACAAACACAACTCTGCCTGGCATTTATTTGTGAGTCGCTTTCTGTGCATTTATAAATCACTGCACACAGTTGTGGATTGCTTCTTGTACATTTGTACATCCCCTCACACATTTGTGGATTTTGAAACACTTCTAGCGTCAACAGGCAGACAATTCCACAAATAAATGGACTCCACCCACCGTTTCTTCAAGCCAATCAGATAATGGACACATTGAGCTGACCAACCGTAGCACGTTCTCGCTACAACCAATCACGTTAGGATTTACAATCAGGGTCTTGCCCTAAAATAACTTTGCTCATTCATCTGTGCATTGGCTCAAATAGGAAGTGTAATAGGAGTGCTATGGCCCATAATATTGCTTTAGTAAAATACGTTTAAAATTTGGATTTCGTTTGGAATTAGACCATTAGACTGTGCATCAAGCCGCCAAGATACATTTTTATGAGCCTTGGAAACTGCCAGAGCAACAGTGCGTACATCCTTGTTATGGGAACAACATGTTATGGAGGCATCACGTTATTCATGATAAAACAGAAAAACATCAATAAGTTGCTGACTAATGAATAACTGGATTTTATGGTATTTTATGTGAGTTTTATACATTTTTGTGAATCTCTTTACATTTATTTGTGGATCTTAATCCATTTAATAATGAATTTGATACATTTTGTGAATCTCTTTACATTTGTTTGTGAATCTCAATCAATTTATTTGGAATAATGAAACAATTCTACCCCCATACTCACCAAGATGGGGATATTGTTGTACTGGCTGCATGGAGATAATAAATACATTCAATTACCTTAGTTCTCTAATCTTCAAAGGTCTGGTTATGTCTGAGTGCCAGAGTTGACAGTATCTCACCTGCTGTGCCATAAGAAAGCGGAGAACTCAAGGCGATGTGTGGAGCCTGAAGCCATTGCCTGAGAGGGTGTGAGCAACATGAAAACAAGTTCCTGACTGGAGAGAATCTTTCTCATATTCTGATGAATCACTTGTTCCATGAAGGTCATTTGCTGTTTGGTATTTCTTCGTTGTCTATACCACCCAATCACATTCTCCTTGACACGAGTAAATGTGTAGCAAGAAAAACACAATTTGTTAATGCAAATCACGTGTGGATTTATTCAGCGGTAACAAAAAAATAACCAAATTCTTTAGAAAGTGGAAAATACCTTTTTGTAATCTGACAAAATCTGTCTTATTTTCTGCTCACTCACATCGCCAGCATTACCGTAGAAGCTTTCAAGAGGTGATAAAAAGAAAAAAGTTTTTAAAAACCTCTATCAGTGACTAATAAGTAAACATGCAAAATGTAAATAGTAAAACACTGTATACATGTATAAATAATTTTCCAGTTTAAAATATTTGATTAACAGTACATATTTAATCATTTCTGTATGATATACAATTTTGTACAGTATTGACTAACTATTTGATGTCCAAATGTACAACCCAGGCCCTAAAGTAAAACGAGTTGAGTTGAGAACCACCACCACTGATTTATATGAAAATAGGTTTGTGGAACAATCCAAAACAATTCACTTACCTATGCAGTTTATGACAAGGGATGTGTTTTTGAATATCTGAAAAAGAGAAAAAAATCATGACAGTGTGGTTTTGTTGTGATGGCTATCATTCGTCATGAGATATTGGTTCCTTCTGAGCACACTTAGTATAGTCAACTTACTTATAGTGTGTTCAAACTGTATGTGATCAATTTGAGAGTCTGTGATCCTACAGTTCTCCTCTCCTATACTCTCTCCAAGAATAAGACCTTCCTTTAAACATAGTGCAAATGTAAATAGGAGTTATGGGACTGAGGGAATGCTTAGCGGACGCAGTTTACTCCTTGGTTTGCTATTTAATGCAAACCCAGTCATTTGGTCACATTAGAACCTTTGCCACTTACCACATCCGCATCACTGTTCAAATGATGAAACATCAGTGAACTCAACACGAAACCCGATATACGGACAGTTGTGTTGAATTCCTCCATGCTTTTGGAATAAACCGTCAGTTAATTATCGCAACATCATAGTTTTCAGTTAGAGTTACTAGGCTACATGTATAACTTTCTGCGCTCGTAGTTTTCGTTTAGTTGTTCTCTGCCCCTCGAGACGACAGTTTACAGCTAAACAGTTCGTATGCTGCCACCACGTGGTGCGGAGAAATTCATAAACACATAGATATTTATACGTAGATATCACATTAGACTGCGCACACGTCGGACGGCGAATAGAAATATACACCGCTGCAGACTCGTAGGCGCGCCCGCCATCTTGCAACGGGCAGCGTGTCGTCACTCACAGTAATAATGTGATGAATGCCACAACATAGCGCAGCTAATTGATGTGAAACCACCGAGATTTAAATTCCCGAAGAAATGGGATAACCTTTCACATATGAGATTGTGTTGGTTTGTGTTTTTATAAGTATTAAATCAATAATACACGTTTTTACAGCAGTACTTTTTTATGTTTTTTACTTTTAGGTTTTAACTATGACGATTGTTTACGTCGTTTCAGCTGACGCCTTCGCCTTGTTGTATTGTGTTAGTTTAGTAGATTCATTTGATGTAGTCTATTTGATATTCATTATACATGCATCTAACTCCTCTATGATCTAACTACGTTGCAGACGCTCACTCAACTAGCTCTCGGAAGTTCACGGACCGCTCCAATGTGGCGGACGGCTTACGGCGCCAATGAGGTATCTATCATATGGTTCTATTGGTCGACGCACCCACCATATTGGAACGGTTCAGCATGTCGTCACGATCGTCACTGACAGTCTTGATGGCACAACACTGCGCAGCTTCTGGTTGTTAAACCGCCGAGATTTAAATTCCTGAAGAAATGGGATCACCTTTCACAGGTGAGAATGTCTTGAGTTGTGTTTCATGCGTATTAACTCAATATTACTGGTTTTATCGGTGCGTTTTAATGTTTTACCATAGTAACATTTTAATGTCAGGTCAGCTGACGCCTTCGTCATATTGTACTGTCAAAATCATCTGCTGGAGTCTATTGCAGATGCATATATATAGAGAGTATATTCATACATGTTGCATCTATCTAACTTCGGTTGCAGATGCGCAGTTAACTTGATCTCGAATGTTCACGGACCGTTCCAATATGGCCGACGGCGACCCATAGAAACCTGATAGAAACATCTGCCAGTGAGGGATCTATATATATTTCTATGAGACACTAGCCTTGAAATTTGTATTTCTCTTTTTTCTCTCTCTCTTGTGGTTTTAAGTATATTTTGTTTTGCAGAAAACAACGCTGGTGTTTGTACTTCCCTAAAAGGCTGAGTTGTTTGTGAGTTGTTAAAGTTGTTTATCTATTATTTACTGAAAATTTGTTAGAATAATATAGAATATTCTAATGAAGGATAGAATATGCTTTTTTTTAAGAAAACAATTATAAAAATATCACCTCAAAAATTCTTGTTTGTTTAATATATTTTTAAGATTTTATGTCACATAAAAATAGCCAATATTAGTTTCTTTGTATGACCAAGAGATTAACTGTAGCGTTTATTAGGACTGTAAACAAAACGATTATGATAAAGCAGTTATAAACGTGACACCTTTGTTTTTACCACAAGGAGGCGCTAGTACATGATTTAACCATATTATGTGTCCGAACTTTGTAACCATTCACACGGGAACTTTTTCGGACATATAGTTTCGGGATTTGGGACACAGTGTATAAAACATAAGCTCCAGACGTCGGGAAGGAAGAATTGAATGTTATTCCGCTATTGTGAAGGTGTGTGTACTGAGTCTTAACCCTTGTTTGGTTGCTGTTGTTTTACTGTTCATGGTATGCCACGGCCCGGGGATTTCTAATAACGGAAAAGAAACAGAAGGACAACTCAAGTTCTCGATGATTATTTCATATGTGCCATTATAGTTTGTCAAACTCATTCAGCAAAGTTGTAATTGGATAATATTTTGTCGTTTAAGGAGCAAGTTAAGGGGGATTCATACATTACGGAGACCCACAGAGTTTCCGCCTAAATACCATTGTTATACAGGACAGAGCTATGTTATACACCAATTTCAATAACAAGAAAATAATAATGTTAAAAAATAGTTATTACAGATAGAAACCATAAATGTCATAAAAAAAATAAAATAGAAAAATACCATAATTACTCCAGCTAGCCACAAATATCATCAAAACATAATACAGCTGTTAGCCACCAATGTAAAAAAAGGCATGGTCACTACAAAGCCACAAATAAAATAAAAATAATAAAAGTGGATACAGCTATTGTCTAGTTAAGTAAAGTCATAACACATCTGTGGGACCAATAACTTTAAAAAGTAGCTACCATGAACATATTAGGTAGGAACATTGGTTAGATTTGTTTTGTTATTTTCTTTAATAAGGCAACAAATTTAGCTGAGATTTTCTACTTGATTCTTTTAAAATTGATTACAGTGCATTTTGTTAAAGTGAACTGCAAAAACGGGTCAGGCACTGTACAGTAAAACAGAAGCAGGCCAACCACATAAAAAAATAAAATAAAAAAAACAGACCAGAGACAGTGTAAACCCATTGATTACAACGTGGCCTTTTAAACAAGCACCACCTCTGTTTTGGCTTTACTTTCACCCATTTAAGCAGATGGCCTGAGCCCAGAACCCAGTCCCATAGACTGACAGGAAGGACAGCAGAGAGATGGAAGGTGCTTGGGATGTTGCACTTGTTCTCTTCCAGGTGTGGCTATCCATAGTAGTGGGCCTCATCATGTTACCTGCCATGTTTGGAGTCTCCCTGGGGTTCACTGATATCTACATCAAGGTTCTGGTTAAGATACTAGAGGTAAAGGCTATAAGTAATTTCTAAAGACATATGACTATAAATTGCTTTCCATGCCTGAATAGTAGTTGCAAACTTGGAAAGATTTTTTACTTTCTTTAGACATGACAGAAGTTGATGATGCCAAGATAAACTTGCAAAAGAGGGTCAAAAGGCATGAAATCCAAATAAATGTCATTTTCAGGGGTTTCATTTTTAGTGTTTATTTCTGAGGAAGTCATTGCACTTTGACTTGTGGATGTAGGAGGCATTGTGTCAAAGGTTACCCATAAATAACTTTTGTTCTGTTTAGTGGGCGACACTCAGGATTCAACGAGGACAGAAGGAACAGCCAACACTGCCATCACAGTCAGCCAACGGTGAGTGAGGGTGTCTGTTGGGGAAAAAATATTTATGACCAGAGACATCATGTGCATAAAACACAAGCATTTGATTTCATGTGATTTGATGTCATGTGAAGGCTAGCCATGACTTCCTCTTTGGTGTTTTTAATGCTGCATAATACAGAATCAAAAAAATGTGTGGGTTAATTTGCTGCCTTTTGTTTGTTTTAGTTAATTAATCATTGCTCATATTTATTAGTCTCTCTGTATAAGAAAATAATGTTTTAAATGCTTTTCTTATTTATTGGCCTGATGCCTGTCAGTCATGGTCTGTTGAACCTGTATTTGGTATTGCAGCAAGTGATGGATTTCATAATTTTAGTTTATCTTATTTATGAACTTTACCCGGTCTCAGGCAGGGTATTTTCGCTGATGAGCTATATGAATCGCAGGACACACATGAAAACAGACTTGCTCCACTATACTAAGAAAGTAAAATATATAGCGGCAACTGTGTCACAAATGCATTGTTTGCTCATGTGGGATCCTCAAGAAAAGAATTCATTTCAAATGTCTTCACAGGGATAATCGAAAAAGAGGACGGTTCTATGGAGGAGGAGATCGAAGAACTGCGACGGTCCCATCCCAAAAATCTGGCGGGGGGAGACTTTACTTTGTGTGACGTCTTCTATTTCTGTAAGAACGGCATTGAAAACATTGTCGACGATCAGGTGACTCAGCGCTTCACGTCGGAGGAACTGGCTTCCTGGAACCTTCTCACACGAACCAACAACAACTTTCGCTACATCAGTGTGCGCCTCACCATTATATGGGGCCTGGGAGTTTTTATACGTTACTGTATTTTATTGCCTCTCAGGTGAGCTTGGACATAAATCAAATATACATTATAATAATCAAAAGTGTCAAAGACATTTACGTTGTTACAAAAGATTATTTTTACTTTCATTGAAGGTCACTTTCTATTAATCAAATAATCCAGAAAAAATGATTACAGTCTGACAAAAATATTAAGCAGCGCAACAGTTTTCAGCAGAATTGTTTGAACACCAAATCAGCATATCAGAATGATTTCTGTAGGACCATGTGACACTGAATACTGGAGTAATTATGCCAAAAATTCAGCTTTGACATCACAGGAATAAACTACATTTTAAAATATATTAAAATGCTGGTGAGCATTAGACTTCAAAACATTAAAATACTCATATTAAGACTTCAAAACATTGTATATACACAGAATATGTACATATATCATTACACATAAGCACATTTCCCACCTTTTCATTCTCACTTTTGTGACGTGGCCATGTTTTTTTGTGCTTCATCCATATGTATATGAATCATATTATTGCTCCGTCATAGGGTTACTTTGGCTGCTATCGGACTGAGCTGGTTGGTGATCGGAACTATTCTTGTTGGACTGCTTCCTAACAGCAAGTAATTAATATTGCATGCCATAATTACAGTAATTATACTATATTCTCTTGTCCGCCATTTATAAATAAGATATGTTCAACTATGTTATATATTTGTTATATATGGACGGAATGATATTTTAATATTTTGACTGAGACTAAAGAAGCATTTCTTAAAGGGAAGGGTTTGTGTCTCTTTCAGTGTGAAGAACTGGCTCAGTGATTTGGTTCACATTACATGCTACAGAATATGTGCCAGAGGCCTGTCTGCAACCATCCGCTATCATAATAAGTGAGTCACTGCTTCTTTTTCATCCCAGTCGTTCCACTTTGATTGTTGTCTCACTGTTTTCCGTTTCCCCCTGCTTCTCGAGTAGCCTGGCTAACGTCAGACCATGTCTCATTGAGAATAAAATTGCGCTGTGCAAATGCAGCATGGGGAAACCCAGGCTACTTCGAGTGTTAACAGTGGCATACATAAAATATCATTTACTGTGTCATTTATTATATCTGTTTTTGCATTTTGCAACCATTGCAACACTTTTAGAAAGTAAAATATGATAAAGTAACTAAAGAAATAAAAGAAGCTAAAGGACAACTGCTGTGGATACAAGCAATTCAGCGACAAGATAGTTTTATTTAGAATCTCTAGAAATTACATTGTACAGTCACCTAACGGATTATTAGGAACACCATACTAATACTGTGTTTGAACCCCTTTCGCCTTCAGAATTGCCTTAATTCTACGTGGCATTGATTCAACAAGGTGCTGAAAGTGTTCTTTAGGCCCATATTGATAGGATAGCATCTTGCAGTTGATGGAGATTTGTGGGATGCACATTCAGGGCACCTGTTTCACCACATCCCAAAGATGGTCTAGGGTTGAGATCTGGTGACCATGGGGGCCATTTTAGTACAGTGAACTCGTTGTCATGTTCAAGAAACCAATTTGAAATGATTCAAGCTTTGTGACATGGTGCATTATCCTGCTGGAAGTAGCCATCAGAGGATGTGTACATGGTGGCCATAAAGGGATGGACATGGTCAGAAACAATGTTCGGGTAGGCCGTGGCATTTAAACGATGCCCAGTTGGCACTAAGGGGCCTAAAGTGTGCCAGGAAAACATCCCCCACACCATTACACCACCACCACCAGCCTGCACAGTGGTAACAAGGCTTGATGGATCCATGTTCTCATTCTGTTTATGCCAAATTCTGACTCTACCATCTGAATGTCTCAACAGAAATCGAGACTCATCAGACCAGGCAACATTTTTCCAGTCTTCAACTGTCCAATTTTGGTGAGCTCTTGCAAACTGTAGCCTCTTTTTCCTATTTGTAGTGGAGATGAGTGGTACCCGGTGGGGTCTTCTGCTGTTGTAGCCCATCCGCCTAAAGGGTGTGCATGTTGTGGCTTCACGAATGCTTTGCTGCATACCTCGGATGTAATGAGTGGTTATTTCAGTCAAAGTTGCTCTTCTATCAGCTAGCATCAACAAGGTGTTTTCGCCCACAGGGCTGCCGCATGCTGGTTGTTTTCCCCTTTTCACATCATTCTTTGTAAACCCTAGAAATGGTTGTGTGTGAAAATCCCAGTAACTGCAGATTGTGAAATACTCAGACCGGCCCGTCTGGCACCAACAACCATGCCACGCTCAAAACTGCTTAAATCACCTTTCTTTCCCATTCTGACATTCAGTTTGGAGTTCAGGAGATTGTCTTGACCAGGACCATGCCCCTAAATGCATTGAAGCAACTGTCTTGTGATTGGTTGATTAGATAATTGCATTAATGAGAAATTGAACAGGTGTTCCTAATAATCCTTTAGGTGAGCGTATTTGCTGAGATGGATAAGGTGGTTGTTATTTTGTCTCATTGTCATTCTCAGCCATGCATACACATCTTTTTCTTGTACACTCCTTAGTATAGTCAAATGACCATTGTTATTATTATTATTATTATTATAGTTTATTTAGATAGGGACAGATACAGATAACATAGATACACTTTGATAGTGATCTGATGCATGTATCAATGTTTTTAGCCAAAGCTAATTTACAACATTAGTCCCTAGAAGGGCTTTTTTTTAGTAAAAATGCAATACAATACACGAGCAATACAAAACAATAAGGGCTTTTGATAAAATGCAATACAAGAATAAAAATACTAGTAGAGAAAAAAATAATGGAATATAATATAAATGCCAAAAAAAAAAAAAAAATTTGTTTCTTATATTTGTCTCATTGTTTCTTATATTTGATGCATAATAGAGAGAATCGTCCACAAAAAGGAGGTATCTGTGTGGCCAACCACACCTCCCCAATTGATATTGTCATTCTTGCGAACGATGGATGTTATGCTATGGTGAGTCACACTGACTTTTATCAGATGTGTGACGTTGTGTGTCTGTAGAGGTCTCAGGTGTCCTTAATTCAGTTATATTCTCTTCAGGTAGGTCAAGTTCATGGAGGCCTCTTGGGGGTCATTCAGAGGTCAATAGTCCGATCCTGTCCTCATGTTTGGTTTGAGCGATCAGAGATGAAAGATCGTCATGCGGTTGCCAAAAGGTGACAAAGTGTGTATTTATTAGTCTGTTGGAGTTGTTATGTGCTCGCTTAGAACATAAAGCCTCAGTTTTGCTTTTTCCACAGGTTGAAAGATCATATTGCTGATAAAACTAAGCTGCCAATCCTGATCTTCCCAGAGGGTACAAGTTATATTCATGTGTCCTTATGCTTATAGTAAAGCATTAATTATGCAGTAAATCTACTATAAAAGAAAGTATAAAAAATCATAGTATCCATATTTAATTTATATATACAAATTTCACATATTTATTTGAATATATATCTATATGCAATTTGTTATTCTATTCCCAAACTCCCTTTGCTCTGTCTTTGTGTTCATTTTAGGAACTTGTATTAATAATACATCAGTCATGATGTTCAAGAAGGGAAGCTTTGAAATTGGTGGAACTATATACCCAGTTGCAATCAAGGTATCAACTGCCAACAAGCTTGTGTTTTCCTACAGCACTATTACTGGCACCCTCTGAAAGGGACACACACCTCATGTACTTCTTCTCTCTTTCAGTATGACCCTCAGTTTGGAGATGCCTTCTGGAACAGTGCCAAGTATAACATGGTGAGCTACATCCTCAGAATGATGACAAGCTGGGCCATTGTGTGCAACGTCTGGTACCTCCCACCTATGACTCGACAGGTATAAGCAGAAACATCTATTTATCTCTGTCTGTCTGTCCGTCCTATGTAAGGTTCCACGAATGCTGGAGCCTAAGCAGAAACATGAATTTACAAAAACAATTATTTTATTAATTGATTTATATTTCAAAACAGTTTAAAAGCATCCCAAAATGCATCAGGTAGAGCAGCACGATTCGAGACAACTAAACAAAATAACATGTAATTTATTAGAAGTTCTGACAAAATGTTAATTGCTGCAGTCGATTTTAAATATTTAATTAATTTGAATGAATTACTTTGAAAAAATCGGTTTGGATGTCTCATTGTTTTATTGCTGGAATGAATCAGCCCTTTTGAACAAATCTCTCATTTTTTAACAGTCACTTTTTTTTGACACCTAGTGGCGTTACTATGTATTCGATACAATCGTTATTTGAAGCGCTAAGTTACTTTCAAAAGGTTTCCATTTTGACCACTGCTATAGACATCAGTGTTTATATCTGACGTTTAAACTTTTATCCCAGTACTTATATGCTAATTTTAATATTTGCAACACAGAAACAACGATACTGTGTAGTTACATACATGACAACTGCTCTCTGGCTCAGCGGCAGCATGAACAGATTTGAATGTTCTGCTGTGATTTTGTCAAATATTTAATTGACACACACAGGCGAACCATTGTCATTTAGAAACGAGATCACATGGGTGTTTGAATCGAGATTGTGATCTTTTAATGATTAATCGTGCAGTTTCAGAGTATGCGGAACTGTAGTATAAGCACACAGGGTGACATAATGTGTTATTTCTTGGTTTCAATTACTTTTATGAGCATTTCAGGTGTATATAAACGTTTAACTGGTAGAGCCTTGGTTCCTTTATTTCATTGTATCTGAATATGTATATATTTTTTTAGGATGGAGAGGATGCTGTTCATTTTGCTAACAGAGTAAAATCAGCAATTGCACACCAGGGAGGACTGGTGGATTTGTCCTGGTAAGAATATACACTTATTTTTTTTTAATAAATTAAATATGCATATATGTAAGCATATTTTAGTATTTAATTTATTTTTGCCTTCTCTGGAGAAAACTTTATTAATTATTTATTTATAATATTTAAATGTCAATTAAAGTTTTTAGTACTAGTGTAAGGATGGTTAGTAGTATGAGTGGCAATATAATCTTAAAATGATCAACTATTAGCCTGACAAGTCACAAATTGCTATAGATTATGCTATAGATTAAAGTATTATTACGTTGCAGGGATGGAGGACTGAAGAGAGCAAAGGTCAAGGAGTCATACAAGGAGGAGCAACAGAAGATGTACAGCAGTATGATCGTGGGGTCGGACTCTTGCGAAGCCTTAGTTGATCCCATGTAAATTTCAGCTCGCACTATATGAACTTGATCTGAAAGTGAGAAGCACGTCTAGCTCAGCCACCGGACAAAATCAGCACAGTGCTGCTGTGCAATGTTGCTCTTTTTGATTCAGAATTTTTTTAACTGGAAAATATATTCTTGAGATTTGAACTTTTCGTTTTTTGTGTACATAAATCATAACAAACTGTTGATGCATAGCTCCAATACTTAGTGAAACGCTTTCGATTTTCACTTTGTTCTCAATAATTGTTGGGTTCTAGTTCCCCCCACAATATAGTGTATAGATTTGCATGTTAAAATATTTACTTTGTGCATGTTCACATTTTATTCCTGTTACATGATTTCTTAAAGGTCGAATGTGAGCTGCACACACTTTTCTCAGGTCCAATGGGCTGTTCATGTGTCGACACTAGAGGTCACTGTTACCAAACATTTGAGCCACATAAAACAGTTCACAATCATGATTGTCTTTCCTAATAAAATAATGAAATGAAACATTCATCTCTCAAAGCATTAATAATTTCCATTGATACTATATTTAGCAGTCAACTACATGCGAGTAAAACCTGTGTAGAATGTAACAAGCACATAAAATATACAATAATTACATTAAGCTTGCGGGCACTTTTCAGGCCTCTGCGAAAAGGCAGATCTGTCTCCCGTGTGTCAATTAGTGATGGGTGATGCACAAAGCACCATTGAGCTTTAATTGCACGAGCACCAGCTCATTTTACTTAGAGCTCCATTGAAACGTCTGCCATTATAAAGTCATTAGGCGCTAACATTTTGCTACGGAAAGTCGACAGAAAGTTTCCCAGCACAGGGAAAAGGAGAGGGTTCAGTCACGGTACATTCAAAGAGGAGACGGTGAGCAATATGTGCTTACTGCGATGGCGGTTTAATAAAGAAAGCATAGAGTGTGAAATAGAACATAGTTATTCTCTGGCACAGAGGGCTGAAGCAGGCTTATCCCTTTCTCTCTCTCTCTCTCTCTCTCTCTCTCTCTCTCTCTGACCGACCACACATCCCCAGACGATCCTCCAGCCCCCGCGAAAAGCAGCAGCGGGCTTTAATAACAGTCCTGCAACTTAAATTGCTTGAACAGAAATGTTTGTTCTCCCCTAACAGGATTGTAAATTATTAATCGGATCTGAAGCCGATTTTATAACCTGATTGTTGAGGTGGGATTCTCCACGAGCAGTGCTCTGGCACACCATTTACTGTGATGTATGTGTCTGCACATCTTTATATCCAATTTAATGTGATTCGGATAGATTTCAAAGCGACATCATAAAAAGCATGGAAGTGACCCCGGCAGAGCCTCGAATGTAGACTCTGTGCGACAGGCGGCCACGTCTCTGTATTTTGATTCGATTTTGCCGATTTCTGTTTTTACCCAGATGTGATCTATACAAATGTAATGCCAGTACACTCAGTAAATATGAATAAATCACTAAATTAGATCATTTTCCTGGAGAATGTAGTTCAAGCTGGACATCATTTTAAATCACAGTTTGCCTGGAACTGACTGGCTTACCTAATCAGAAGGGTAAATGACCCCGCTTTTGCCGAGGACCTGCCATTAGTTAGAGCCGAATGTTTTTTAAATACATTGTTCTACCATCGTTTCTGAGACTCGAGTGGACCTCCTACACTAATGCATGAGATCTTGAGGTACAATATGTCTCAGGGGGAAAAATCAATAGAGGAATACTGGAAGAAGTCTCTGCAGACTCTCTTTCCTCGAAAAGCTCGGCACCTCACGAGGAGTTTTAGTGTTTGAATGTTCTCAAACACAACCCTATTAAATATAGTCCGTTTTATGATCAAACCAGGACAAATAAAACATTACTCAAGGTTTGAAAGCATCTGCTAATTTATATTGGTCGCGTATGCCTTTCTTTACAGCTTAACTGCATAATTGACCTTATTTAGACAATTAAGTAACAGTTTTAATCCTGTTTGCATGCCATATTTTTATGTTTATTTGAGAAGTGCACTTAACAATTGATGCTTCTTTGCTTGTTTCCAGCCAGACTGAGAAAAAAAATGGATTACCAAAAACATATACGGTCCAATTGGAAAGGCTGGCTGAGAAGAGGAAAAATAAGTTTGCTCAGCTTTTGTCATGGTATTAGACATGTCCTCTCCTCGACCATAGCTGGAACCAAATGATGTGCATGATCCCTTAACATGGTACATGTGAATCTGGGGGGAAAAAAATGCTTCCTGCATGTTGCTTTGATTTTATAACTTTTTAAGTTCAAAATAACGTGTGATTCAACAAGTGAGTTATGCACTTGATCCATCCAACAGATGTCAATATGCTCGTAATGTTTTATCAACACTGTCTGTATATAGGCAGCATACAAGAAGAAAAATCATAGGCCCAACTCATTTGCAATTCTACCTGATTAACATACCTTAATGAAGACTATAATTCGACCACATTGATTTTTTTCCCCCCTTTTTGATTGAGCTAAAATGGAGTTGGAAGTTCTTTGAGCCCGAAAGCTGATTGATTTGCGGCTGAAGATTCAATTCAGTTTGAAAAATAATTAAGTTCTTGTAATCAGCTGGAATTTTTATACAGCATCATTGCTCAAGTCAAATCTTTTATTTCAGGTCTATTCATAAGTTGTATTCATGCAGGTACAAATGATGCAAGTAATCAGATTACTTTTTTCAAGTAACTAGTAAAGCAAAGCATTATTAAATTTACAACAAAATATCTGAGTTACTTTTTCAAATTTCAAATTTTATCCCAACACAATTATCTTGTACCGATGAGGTGTAAACATGGTAGTTTGTTCTACTAAAAGTGAGCATGCATTTATCCTCTTCGAACTTGGACCAAAACAGATTCGGTATTCCTCAAAATAAATCAAAACGGTGAAATGCAAACTCGAAATGCAAAAGTTGCTGCCTTAAATTTTCAAGTACAATCAACTTGAAAGTAAGTTAATTTACACAAAATCTTGTAGGCAACTTTTTTGATGAGTTAGAGATGAAACTACTTACTTATTTTGATGAGTTAAAAAGCAATGTAAAAACATTTGCTTTCATAACTTATAGATCATATCATTTGTTTGTGCACTTTTTTTAGGGTGTAACGCAATATTGTAATGCATTACTTTAAAAAGTAACTTTCCACAGCACTGGAACCAAGGCTTAAGAATCAAACAAAACTTTAGATGCCATGCATGCATTCTTTCACGTGAAGGGTGAACTGAACTAGTTTTAATATTATGTGTCGGTACTGAGTATTGAAAATAACTTTTAGGGCTTTCAAAGAAACCAGACAGGTTTGAAATGATTCAGCTCAAGTAACAAGATCATAAATTGTTTGCTTTCTGTGTGTATGCATGTTTCTCTTTTTATGGAGAGGGAGGCAGAATTTCACCTTGAATGCGAGAGCTGTCGCGGTTCACCGTTCCAGGCGTTTTACCCTTTATGTGATTGCTTTTGTTTTTCGGGTCAGCTCTCATCTATGCCTGCAACTTTTCCAATTTATCAGGACTTGTTATATGAAGACAAAAGCTACAGTCGGACGGCAGAGCAGGCGGATTGCACACGGAGCCATTTAAGAAACGGCAACAAAGATCCGGAGTGGCACACGTTCATGCTTGGTGAGCAGTGCTTATAATCACACCTCCGTGAAACACACTGTGCAAGTTCATCAAATGAATAATGAAATAATGGTTGTGGTCCATTAATAGAAAATTATCCTGCCTCATGATTAATTGCATTAAACTTATGAAAGTGTGTTTTTTCTACAAATCAAAGGCGGGAAATGATGGATGATGAAGAGGCATGATGAATGAAGAAAGGCTGTGAACTAAATTGAAAGTGTACTCATCCGTTCTCCGCTCAAAACTAATGATGAATTGACCATGTCACATTGAACAATACACATTGAGCTTTAAACATAAAGCAGACACGGCCACAGAAGGCACTGGTCTTGAATCACAGTTGTACTGGACATGCATGCAAAATATTTCTCTTCTTTTTCTCAATATTGATGTTATTTTTCTTTAATTTAAAGTCAACATAACTGATTGAACATTTTAATATGACTGATATATGAATTTATCACTATAACAGATTATCGAGTAATTATTTTTACGAATGCATTCAAAAATATTGCGCAGGCCAAATATAAGCATTGTGGGTTCAAGCCAATAATCCCTGTAAACTGCTCAAAAACATATTAAATAATGTTTTTGGAAAGTCTAAAAACACAATGAGTTTGTGTTAGAGTTAGAAAATAATATCTCAGTAAAAAAAAAAAAAAATGTAAGTCAAAGGAAATTATGTTTGGAAGGGGTTGTGGGTAGTTGATGATCACCAGTTACATCATTGAAAAATCCCTAAATTATAATTTTCTTTAAAATGGTCATTATGCTATTAACAACCATTGTTTAAAACGTTTTATATTATACTTATCTGTTTTAATACCCCTTTTCTTCCTAAATCTGACTCTTTGTATCGGTTTACAAAGGAAGATGGGAAAGGCAAAAGAACACAGAAAATAAACAGATTGTTTTTTTTCTTTATACTGCAAAAAAAAAAAAAAAAAAAAATAGACTAATTGACAAACTGCCAAAGTTACAGATGATCAAATCCATATTAAGACAGCATCTGGCCAGGCTCCAGGCAACATTGTGTATTGTAAATAATATTGCCATCTGTGAGGTGCCGACAGTTGGGAATTAAGAAATTACATGATTGTAATTAATGTTGAAAAGATAAAAGACGTAGAGTGTGCATAAAAGTTCCTCTCCTTGTTTGGTTGATTGCCTGCCGTCATGTGACCAATCGAGAGTCATTCTCAAACTCTCAAACTAATCAATGTGAAATTCAGTGCTTGACATTGATTGAAGGAGTGCAAATTCCAAACATATGCACTATTGTATTAAATATTACACTGTATTAGTAGTTTAAATATGAAATATTTCTTCAATATACACTAACACCCTTCAAACGTTTGTGGTTGGTAAGATTTTTTACATTTTTCTGATGTAGGTATCTTATAAGTGTCATAACATATTTTAAAATGTAATTTATTCCTGTGATGACAAAACTGAATTTTCAACATCATTTGGTGATCTAGAACCATTTCTTACTTTTATCAATGTTAAAAAAAAACAGTTGTTCTGCTTATTTATGTGAAAACCAGGATTCAGAGATGATATTTTATTTAGCATGTATTCGCACTGCAATGATGTGTTGTTTCATTTCACATCCAAACTCAAAGGCCCTTGTTAGGTCACAGAGAGACAATGATGGCAGTCACACTATGTACTTCCTGCACCAGGCCCAACTGCTGATATTAAAATGCGCCGCTTCAATTTCATCTCCAAAAAGAGAGAGAGAGAGAAAAAAAGAAAAAGAAAACTATATCAGCTCAGTGAAGCTGCACACTGCAGGTTCACACAGAAATGAATATTCTCTTTAATTTGCCGGGCTGCGACGGGTTTGGAGCCCCCAAGACA